AATCCGCCCGCCTCGGCCTCCCAAGAGCTAGGATTACAGGCGTGAGCCACAGCGCCCGGCCATATTATATTGATTTTTTTTTAACCATATTTTGGGTTTCTTCTCAAACAATGCCATAGGAATAGAAGACAAACTTTTTATAATCAAGTTGCAGAACAGAATGAACAGTAGTGATTTCATTATTAAACAATATATATTTTATATATCATATATACTGTTATATATATATATATATATATATATATATACACACACATACAGATAGAAAGCTAGTTTGATGAATTCCAAACCTAACCATGGCTCTCTCTGGGGAGATGAGATTATAGAATTTTTCAACTGTATACCTTTTATAATTTTCCCCCATAGCCTGAAATAGTTTTCTCCCTACTTTATAAAGGAAAGTCAAAAGAAATGAGCTTTTTATGCTTTTCAAAGAACTTTGATCTGCTCTCTCATTATGCCTCACAAACTATGATGAGGGGATAGAGGGTTTTTCTTAGCTAAGTTTTCCTGGGTAAATACACAAAAATAATCCTGCATTTAATGTGACACTAAAACCAGAATATGTTCTGTGAATGTGATTATAGATTTTTAGACTTTTCTCTGCCTTTTTAGATTTTTTTTTTTTTTTTTTTTTGAGACAGAGTCTCGCTTTGTTGTCCAGGCTAGAGTGAGTGCCGTGGCGTCAGCCTAGCTCACAGCAACCTCAATCTCCTGGGCTCGAGCGATCCTTCTGCCTCAGCCTCCCGAGTAGCTGGGACTACAGGCATGAACCACCATGCCCGGCTAATTTTTATATATATATATCAGTTGGCCAATTAATTTCTTTCTATTTATAGTAGAGACGGGGTCTCGCTCTTGCTCAGGCTGGTTCTGAACTCCTGACCTTGAGCAATCCGCCCGCCTCGGCCTCCCAAGAGCTAGGATTACAGGCGTGAGCCACCGCGCCCGGCCTGACCTGGTTTTTGAAGGATCAATAAAGTAGAAGAGGAAAGAATTCCTGGCATAATGGATGGTGTAGGCAAAAGAAAGGAATGATTAAAGAGTTGGAAAAGATTATACTCACTCATATGAGATGGCATATGTATTTTTTAGCTTCAAGTCTGGGTAATAGGCTAAGAAAATTCCTTAAGGTTCTTTATTCTAGAATTCTATGACAAAGTGTTGAGAATTTTGACATGCAATAAGGTGTTTGCTATGTATAATTCCATATACAAGTAGCTAAGCATGATCAGAAGAATTTCAAAAATCTGCAAAAATCCAGTCTCAAAGAAGATTCACTACACGGGCAAGAAGATACATGATACTTATGTTAATTTTTACAACAACTGGAAAGTGAAAGTATCAAAAAATTCATTTGAGTATCCACTGTTACTATTCATTATGTGATACTAAAATTCCTCTTTACTCTTTCAGTTCATTGCTAATAAGGTAATTTGTAAAAAGAAAGAATACCATTTAAAATAATATGGGCAGGGGCAGATGGGAAAGAAGGGTAATTCCCAAAGACGGTTTTGTTTACTTTGAACATTTTTTTTTATTCATAGAAGAAATTCGTTTGATTGTAGACTTTTTAGAAAAGTACTTAAAATAAGTTTTATATATGTATTTTTAATAGCTTTGAGATATAATTCATGTACTTAAATACTTAAAATTATTTCAAAAAAATTTAAAACATCCATCATCTTATCAGATACTACAATAATGTTTTGATATACATCCTTCTGATCTTTTTTCCTAGATTTTTCTAGGATGTAAGAACCTGACTTGAAGCAGCTTAAAAAAACAATACTAATTATAACCATTTCATTGATTTTAAAACAGTGTGTTAAAATACACTTAAAACAAGTATTATGTACAAAATATCCTAAAGTCATATAAGTAATTATCTTGGGGATGATAGGAGAGGGCCAGGATTGCTGATGGAGTTGTGGGGGCAAAAGAATATTTTACCTTCAATGTTGTAATTTCTAAAAAAGAATAGATTTAGTGTATTACTTAAATAATTAAACATTAATAAAACCGAAACAAAATCCAAGCTTAGAAAAAGAGTTGCCACATTCATAAATTTTGAAGGGGATAGTTATGATAAATGGAAGAGAATTAACATTTAGTTCTTTTTTCTTTTTTTTTAGGAGAGATGGGGTCTCACTCTTACTCAGGCTGGTCTCAAACTCTTGAGCTCAAGCAATCCTCCCACCTCAGCTTCCCAGAGTGCTAGGATTACAGGCATGAGCCACTATGCATGGCCAACATTAGTCTTGGCAGGAAAAATAATTTCAGGAGCCTTGCCCTGCCACTCTTTCACTTCTTCTATAATAATTTCCTAACTCATTAGTTTCAAAACATTAATATTGTTTCATGTAATTGAGAAATGTTGAAGTCATCCCCAGAAATTCAAGTAGACAAACTGGTTTTTTATTTCATATATCCTTCCAGGAATTTGTTGCTGATTATCAACTTGCAGTGTGACTCTTAAAAGAAACACTGATCAGAGTCAAACAACTTCATTCAACAAACAGACATTAAACACATGCATTTTTAAAATATTCAAGACCACTTGGAGTTATAGCAACAGCTATTCTATGAGGAGATTAAACTAAGCTGCATAATTGTGTTTTCATTTTTAAAGCATGCACAATTCACTTGGGATTTGGTGGTTTAGTGTAGTTCATTCTCATTGTGATGGCACTAGGAACATTAGATAAAACATCAGGAAGATCAGATGATTAGGCCCTAGTATATCCACTGAGCATAACAGGTAGCTGCTATTCATATTGCAGGCATGTGGCAAAGTTTAAAATATCTCTTTTCACATATTTCTCTCTACACTAGGCCTTTATCTCATTATAGTGGGGTTGGCATTTATGCAGCCAGCATCCTACACATACAGCTGCTAGAAATAAGAAAGAGATATATGTGGCATAGATAACTCAAGTAATGAGAAAAGCTAAGAATAGAACAACCTGCTGTGTTAATTTTTTGCTTTTGTGGTGGCACCATTTGATATGTCTTCAACATGCTACTCCTTGAGGTTTCCTTTGGAAGCTTCCCTGAGCCACATACACTTTGCTCTCCTCTACTGTGTAACAGTATGATAAAAAATAGTATACCCTTATGCTACCTAGGTAAGCAGTACATATTGTTTTATCATACTGTCACATGGAACTCTTTCCATGGAAAGTTTTTTTTAATATAAACGGCCTAGGCCAGGCGCGTTGGCTCACGCCTGTAATCCTAGTACTCTGGGAAGCTGAGGTGGGAGGATGCTTGAGCTTAGGAGTTCGAGAACAACCTGAGCAACAGTGAGACCCTGTCTCTACTATAAATAGAAAGAAATTAGCCAAACAACTAAAAATAGAAAAAAAAATTAACCGGGCACGGTGGTGCGTGCCTGTAGTCCCAGCTACCTGGGAGGCTGAGGCAGGAGGATGGCTTGAGCCCAGGAGTTTGAGGTTGCTGTGAGCTAGGCTGACGCCACGGCACCCTAGCCCAGGCAAGAGTGAAACTCTGTCTCAACAACAACAAAAAATATTAACGGCCTACTCTGCATAGGGGAAGAATAGGCCTTAATTATTGGTTAAATATCTAATTACAAATATATTACAGTAAAATATGTCTAAGATTAAAAAAAGGACACAGCCACAATTTCTTATCTGCAATTTTCATATCCAAATGCTATAAAAACAGAAAGTTACTTCACAAGTTTGGTGACAAAACCTGACATGATCTCATCTGAGGCTCTATGGCCTTTAGTTATCACATTTAGTGGAGCTATTCATAATGCACCACAAAAACAGGAGTATATTTGATAATGGGGTGCTACCCTGGACGTTTGTAGTAGTTTTGAGTGAAATATTTTATATAGACTGTTAATTTTCCAAAATTTGAAAAATCTTGATTCCAAAACACAACTAGCCCTAAGATTTCAAATAAAAGATTACAAGGCAGTATTTCCCCAAACTCTTAATGATATGGTTATTCCACCAAACCCAAGATGCTCCCAGTAAATATTTTTATCCCCCAGTATGTGATGAAGATGAAACTCCAGGAAAGCTAAAAAGGCATATTAGAACACCATGCAATCTGCATGAAAAAATTGACACAATGATTTGGTAAGTGATGCAGTTGTAAAACATTGTGCAGTTACCAGAGGCTATTTATCCATAAGGATAGCATACTGTGCTGGTGCTAATAGTTGTCTTCTTAAAAGTGAAAAGTCTCATTCTTTCAAAGCTACTTTTAGATATAGTGCTTTCAGACATTCATTAGTTCTCAACCTGGCTAAACATTAAAATTTCCCCGAGCCTTCTAAAAATACCCACACATGGACCTCATCTTCTGACATTCCGATTTACTTGGCCTAGAAAGGGGCCTTTGCAACTGTGTTTTAAAAACTCCCTACATGGGCGGGCATGATGGCTCAGGTCTGTAATCCTAGCACTCTGGGAGGCCGAGGTGGGAGGATCGCTCAAGGTCAGGAGTTCAAGACCAGCCTGAACAAGAATGAGACCCTGTCTCCACAAAAAAATAGAAAGAAATTAGCTGAACAACTAAAAATATATAGAAAAAATTAGCCGGGCATGGTGGCACATGCCTGTAGTTCCAGCTACTTGGGAGGCTGAGGCAGAAAGATCACTTGAGTCCAGGAGTTTGAGGTTGCTGTGAGCTAGGCTGATGCCACGGCACTCTACCCCAGGAAACAGAGCAAGACTCTGTCTCAAACAATAAATAAATAAATAAAAACTCCCTACATAATCATTCTAATGTGTAGCCACAGCTTTAACAAGCCTCAATGTCCAGGCTATACTCCAGATCAGGTAAATCAGAATTTTGAGGCTTGAGGCCCAGACACAAGTATTTTTTTAAAACATGCAAACTACTGATTTGATTGGCTTAAGGATTAAGGGTGTGACTGACTGTTTTGCTTTTCTTCCTGAACTAAGTCAGCTCTACATTGGCACTATAGTAGGATCACAAATAAAGAATTCTAGCCTTCATCCACTCATGTGGTGGTTTATTCAAGGATTCCTTCCCCAATTTCTTTACGAAAGCAAAATGGGCCAGGAAAAAAAGGTACAGCGATCACATGAGAAACATTTAAAAATACTTTTAGTAAAATAATCCATTCCACGTCAAAACTCCTTTAGCACATAGTAAATCAGAGTGAAGAACAAAACTGAAAAGCAGAATTCACTTTAGTTGAGACTACAATGTAAAGAAGAGCACAACTTAGATGTACATAATAGGAAATCATACCCTTTTCCAGCAACTTATAGCATAGTAAATTTTTAAAAAATACAATAATTTTCCACTGACTCTGTTTGGGATGCCAATAATAAACCATATTCTTATACATACTTCAAAGAAAGCTAGACAATACATTAAGAATATTGAATTCAAGATAGTTTCTGTTCAGAGAACAACTGAACTATATAGTAAGGTGCACATTTTTTAGATATAAGATAATGTTCTCTTGCTTTTAGTTAAAAATATTTTTTTCATACTTTATAATGGTCATATGAAAAAGGCATTTACTTTTTTTTATCATCACTAACCCTGAGGAAGGAAGAACAAGTGTGGAGTATGCTACATAAGTCACTAGGGACCAATTTCCACATTTTTCACAATTGTGATGGCAAGGTAAATGGAGAAGTGTAGGATACTACACTTATTTAGGCTTCCACATATATTAGCTTAAAACATTTAAGGTAGATACAACATTTGGGTAACTGGCACAGTAGCATTTCTTTGCCTCAACTGAGAACCATTTTAAACATCATCACTTTTAGACTATGTTGGTTTAAACAAACAAAAACAAATTAATACCTGACTATGTAGGAATACATTGACTATGTAGGAATTTTCAATTCAATATATAGCAATATGTAGGGACAATGTAGCTTCACTGCTCAAGAACCTCCGTTCAGCAGAAGAAAAATACGTGTAAGTTCTATGAACTCTTCTCTTTCACTAGAAAGATGCTAGCTGTTACAGGGAGTTGAGAGGAAAACAGAATTCTACCACAATGGAATAAGGGTGGAACTAGTAATTCTGCTTTGCCACTACAAGTATTATTGTTAGGATAAAAGTTGGAATTGCAAATTTAGGTGGACTCACCAGTTTTGACCTGTGGAAATGAAATAAAAGTTTACTCCCTGGGCCAAAAACCCGAAGCAGCTGTTGGGAGCAAGAGGGCAATAAGGACAGAAGAAAACAGATTCACTGCGTTGTTATCAAGAATGGGTTTCCCTGCTATGTACTTTGCCTCATTCGTTGGGCTGTTGACCACCATGCCAGTGCTTTCATCCAAACCTGAAGTGGAAAAGAAGAAAGTGAGGTGGAAAACCCAAATGACTTGATTAAAAGAAAAAAAAAATTACCTTTTTTCCTCCAAAGTAGATACTTTTTTGAAAGATTCTCAGTGACTTATAAAATGACATGATTTATATGATGAGAGATATGGAACCCTTGATTACAAAAGGCCTCTTTGAATAAATGAGTTTCAGCACACTTTGGTAATGTTCTCAATACCTCTGGAGTTGATTCATAAGTGGAAAAGAGAATGTTAAAAGCAGAAAGGGCATGAAATTGGCAGCCTGGGCCTGCCTTCTCAATGGTTTCCCCTCCACAATCAACCTGTGATGTCCCAGAGAGTAAGGTTCATGTCTGTGGTCTCAGGACTGCATCTACAGGGCCCAGCATAGTGTTGGCACAAAGGAGGAACACAAAGATTTATAGGATGAATTAGTAGTCTCCCCTAATGTGCACATTTCTTTTTCAATCCACTCAATATGATCAGAACTTCACCAGTTATAATGAAACCTAGGCTCTCGGGGGCTTGGAAAAAAAAAAGAAACCTAGGTTCTCTAAAAAAGATGTGTACTCTGTATATGTGTGTGTGTGGGGGTGTGTAGAGTTATTGACCCTTTAATGGGAATTCAAATTAGATAGCTTCTTCCTTAGCATCTAAATGAGACTAACAAAACTGAGAGAGCAAATACTCTGATGGGTGGGGAGAAGAATGGAAGGGAGCATAGATTATTCTGGGGCATGAAGAGCACTGGGAGGACTGTACTCAGAGAAACTGTTTCTAGCCTCCCGGCTCCTCATGATGTCAATCAAAGGTGAAGACATGGTCGGTGAGAGTGTGGAGCAAACATATACCTAATAGAATATGTCAGCACACTGATAGGACAGGAGAGCTTCAGAAGCAAAACACAGAAAATTCTGAGGAAAACTTACTTTCCCATGTGTCTTGTGAGTGGGGCTAAAAACTCAGTGGTCAGGACAGCAAGCACGATGTCACAGTAGGAAAGTAGGTCATGTGTATTAGTCAGATTAGTACAATAGTTATCCCTCAAATGGACTTGGAAAACAAATTAAAATTATATGATCCCAAATGTCCTGCTTTCCTGGGATTGGGTGATGGTGATGGCCCAAAAGCAAAAGCATCTGTTTCCTGCACCATCATATCCTCCCCACATAGCTTCTAATCATTGCTCTGCATGACTAATTCTCTTTCAATTAATTTAACACAAAAGAAAAACAAAATTGTGGAAGAGACTTTGCCCTATCATTTTTGGTCCCTCAACACCCTGCATCTTTGGATTTATTTTTAATTGTCACGTCTTTTTTTTACTTTTCTTTTCCGATTTCTTCCCCATTTCTTTAATATACTAAGATGCAATAATAAGGAAATGTTCTTACCAGTAAACTGCATTGTAGCCCCTAAATATGAGTCCACAATTGATCCTAGTAATCCAGCTAGACCCCCAAATGCAATAATTGGCCACTGGGGTGCAGAAATGTCTAAATCATTCACAAAAACCAACTGTGTGAGGAAGTATGCGATGCCCACAAAGGTACCACCAAGGAGACTTGAGGCAAGGCCCACCACTGTAACTCCTCCGTTGGTCCCTGAAGAAGAAACATGCGTAAAATCACCTGGTTAACATTCAGCAAACACATAAAGTCAAGGAAAACAAAAAATTTTGATACCTCTCTAATCATGGCTAATTCAAATAAAGCATTCTCTTTAATGCAGTCTCAAGACCATAGCATACTTAGAAAACTGTTTTTTCTCTGTAGTAACTCCTGAGATTCTTAGCAGTACAGTGGAATGGTTCCATGGAGCCAGACTGCATGGTTTCAATCTTAGTTCTGCCACTCTCAAGCTGTTGACTGTGGTTAATTTATCTTAACTACTCTAGGCTGTAGTTTCCTTGTTTGTTAAGATGGAAAAGAACCAATTCATATGATTATTAATATTATGAGTATTAAGTGGTAATAAATGTAAAGCAGTTAGAACAGTGCTTTGTAGTAGGTATTCTACTATAATAACTAATATGTTAGCGATCATAATAATGATAAGAGGAAAAGAAAAAAGGAGGAGGAGAAAAAGGTGATGGAGAAGGAGAGGGTGGAGGAGAAAGAAAGGAAGAAGAAGATTACAAAAAAGAAGCAGTACAGATTAAGTATTCCTTATCTGAAATGTTTGAGACCAGAAGTGTTTCATATTTGGATTTTTTTCAGATTTTGGGATATCTGCATAATACGTACTTAGTGGTTAAGCGTCCCAAATCCGAAAATTTGAAATCCAGAATGCTATAATGAGCATTTCCTTTGAGCGTCCTGTTAGCACTCAAAAAGTTTCAGATTTTGGAGCATTTCAGATTTGGATGTGCAATTTGTAGTAGTAGTTGATAAAGTTAATGGGGAACTGAGATGATATCAAACACTAATTATGTAACAGGCCCTCAAGAAATACTCTATCACTCCCCTCTTTTCTTTCCCCATTGTTATGTTTGTAGGTCAATCTCTATGTTTTTGTATTGTTTATCTAGGTCTTGCTAACATTTCCTACAAATATTATTTCTTATCACCAATTTAATAGCCTATAGCAGTTTTCTAATTTGCCTTTATTTAAGGAGACTAAATACAATTCTTAAAAGGTTCTAAAATAAGAAATACATTAAATTAAGAAGTTTTTTTGTTTGCTTATTTTGGCTGTTTTTTTAAGAAACTCAAATCAAGACTCACCAACTGGAACCTTCTCCCACGTTGTTATCAGCCTTGGCGGGCTTTTACTTAGAACTGTGCCAACTTCTGAAGCCCAGGTGTCTCCAGCAGAGCAGGCCAGTGCAGCCAAGAGAGACAAACACATCCAGGAAGCAGTGTACTGCTTGGAAAAATCTATTGGGATTTCCCCAGGACCACTTTCTATCATGTAGAGCAGGGCCAGCTCTGTGGGCACAGCTCCATTACAGAACACCTGAACCCAATTCCTTTGCCCTCCTGAAAACAGATGAAAAGGATAAGAAATATTTTCTTCTCAGAAAGAAAATCATGCAGTTATAGAAATTTATATTTTAAGGTTTAAGAAAAATGACTGATGTTTAAAAAAAAGACTAAAAGTGCTATGGCACCTTCACCCATATTGTATTCTGTTATTATTAAATCTGTAATAATTAAAGATAGACTCTAGTGCTTCTAAAACTCTGCTGTTATGTACTATTGTGGTGAGATAAATGACAAACCAAATTAGGCTATTAAAGTAATTCTTATATAAAAAATTTACCTTTTTTGACAGTCTAAACAATGGGTTCTGATTAAAAGCTTATGTTGGGATGGAATAAAGTTTACTATTTTGAATAATATCAAACAAAATTAATCTTACCTTCCTTATATTCTGAATCTAGACGCTTCTTTGTTTCTCCCTTCCATTTAGTGAGTTTTGAAGAAGTAAGAAAAAACATCAGCAAAGATGTAAAAAAGCTGAAATTTGCAATGGTTAGGATAAATCCAACCACTAGCCCTGAAAGAAACATACAAACACAGAATTACACTCAAATACATTAATGATGTAAAAAAAGAATTTTTTCAGTTAATTTTACACTATAATCAGAAATGTATATCTATAATATATTTGCACCTTACCAATTAAATTATTACCAAGCAGCAAACTGAATGTCATTTTTATTATATTCCTGGCATGATATGGATGGTGTAGGCAAAAGAAAGGACTGATTCAAAGGAGTTGGGAAAAGTTTATACGCACTCATATGAGATGGCATACTGTATTTTTTAGCTTCAGTTGGTATAGGCTAAGAAATTCCTTAAGGTTCGTTATTCTAAGAATTCTATGACAAGTGGTTGAGATTTGACATGCGATACAGGTGTTTTGCTATGTATAATTCATATACACATAGCTAGCATGATCAGAAGAATTTCAAAACAAATCTGCAAAATCCCAGATCTCCAATAGAAGATTCACTACACGGGAAGAGATACAGTGATATCATGTTAATTTACAACAACTGGAAAGTGAAAGTATCAAAAAACTCATTTGAGTATCCACTGTTATCTATTCTATGTGATACTAAATTCTCTTAAACCTTTTAGTTCATTATAAAGGTATTTTGTAAATAAGAAGAATAACATTAAAATTATGGGCAGGGGAAGATGGAAAGAAAGGGTAATTCATAAAATGAAAGAGGTTTGTTTCTTTATCATATTTTTTTATTACATAAAGAAATCGTTGCTTTGAGACTATTTAGAAAAGTAACTTAAATAAGTTTATATACTGTAGTTTAATGCTTTTGAGGATATAATTCAGTACTTAAATACGCTTAAATTAATTATCAAAAAAATTTAAAACATCACATACATGCTTATCAGATACTACAATAAATGTTTTGATATACATCCATTACTGTCTTTTCTAGATTCTTTCAGGATGTAGAGACTGACTTGACACTTAAAAAAACCAATACTAACTAACCATTTAATTGATTTTAAAAAAGGGTGTTAAAAGAACGTTAAAACAGAATTGTACACAATCCTAAAGTACATATAAGTACATGATCTTGGGGACTGATAGGACACGGGCCAGGATTGAGAGTTGTGGGGCAAAAGAATTTACCTTCAATTGTGTATTTCTAAAAAAAATGAGATTAGTGTATTACTTTAAATATTAAACATTAATAACGCGAAACAAAATCCAAGCTTAGAAAAAGAGTATGCCAATTCATAATTTGAAGGGGATACCAATACGATAAATGGAAAAGGAAACAGGGAATTAATTTATTTTTTTGTCTTTTTTTTAGGACCAGATGCAGGGTTCACTCTTGACTCAGGCTGTCTAAACTCTTGAGCTCAAGCAATCTCCCACATCAGCTTCCCATGAGTGCTAGGATAAGCTGAGCACTATGCATGGCCACATTAGTCTTGCATAAATAATAATTCGAGCTTGACTGCCACTTTTACTTCTTCTATAATAAGTTTCCTAACTCCATTAGTGGTTCAAAACATTAATCGTTTTTCATGTAATGAGAAAAGTGTTGAAGTCATCCACCAGAAATCAAGTAACAAACGGTTTTTATTCATATATCTTCAGGAATTTGTTGTGATATCCAAAACTGGCAAGTGTAATCTTAAAGAACACTGATCAGAGTCAACAATTCATTCAACAAACAGACATTAACACATCATTTTTAAATATTCAGCTCTTGCGAGTTATACGCAACAGCTATTCTCCATGAGAGATTAACTAAGCTCGCATAATTGTGCTTCATTTTAAGCATGCACAATTCACTTGGATTGGTGTTTAGTTATTCAAATATCTCAATTGTGATGGCACTAGGAATTCAGTAAAAACAATAAGCAAGATGAGAAAGCTAGTTTATCACACTGAGCATAACAGTAGCTCTATTCATATTGGCAGGCATGTGGGGCCAAGTTTAAAAATATCTCTTTTCACATATTTTCTCGTACACTAGGCTTTATCATCATTTAGTGGGTTGGCAGTTTATGCAAGCCAGCTCCTACCATAACAGCTGCTAGAAAATAGAAAGGATATAGTCATAGTAACTCAGTAAGAAAAAACTAAAGAATACGAACCTGCTGTGTTAATTTTTGCTTGTGGGCACCATTTGATATGTCTTTCAAACTGCTACTCCTTGAGGGTTTCCCTTTGAACTCCCTCGAGCCACAATACACTTTGCTCTCCTTCTACTGTGGAACAGTATGATAAAATATAGTACTACCTAGCTATAAGTAAGCAGTACATATTGCTTTATCATACTGTCACATGGAACTCTTTCCATGGAAGTTTTTTTAATATACAACGGCTAGCCAGGCGCGTTGGCCAACCCTGTAATCCTAGTACATCTGGGAGCTGAGGTGGAGGATGCTTGAGCTTAGGAGTTCGAGAACAACCCTGACAACGTGACCTGTCCTCACATAATAGAAAGAAATAGCCAAAAACTAATACGAAAAATTAACGGCACGGTGGTGCATGTGAGTGACCAGCTACTGGGAGGCTGAGGCAGGATGCTTGAGCCAGGAGTTTGAGGTGTTGAGCTAAGGCTGACGCCAACGGCCACCGCTAGGCCAGGCAGAGAGTGAAACTCTGTCTCAACACAAACAAAAATATAACGCTACTCTGCATAGGGGAAGATAAGCCTTAATTTTGGTTAAATATCTAATTAACAAATGATTACAGGTAATAATTCTAAGATAAAAAGGACACAGCCACAATTTACTCAATTTCATATCAATGCTATAAACGACAGAAAGTTACCTCACAAAGTTTGGTGACAAAAACCTGACATGATTCATCTAGCCTAATGGCTTTAGTTATCACATTTAGTGGAGCTATTCATGTAATGCACACAAAAAAGGAGTATACATTTGATAATGGGTTGCTACCTCGGACGTTTGTAGTTATTTTGATGAAAATTTTAATAGAACTGTTATTTCAAATTGAAAACTTGTTCCAAACACAACTAGCCCTAAGTTTCAAATAAAAGATTACAGGCAGGTATTCCAAACATCTTAATGATAGGTTATGTCACCAAACCCAAGTGCTCCCAGTAACTATTTTTATCCCCAGTATGTGATGAAGAGAAACCCAGAGAAAGCTAAAAAGGCAAGCTTAAAACATCAACGGCAATGAAAATTGAACAAATTGGTAAGATGATGCAGTTGTAATGTGCAGTACCCAGAGGTATATATCATAAGGATAGCATACTGGTGCTGGTGCTAATAGTTGTCTCCTTAAAGTGAAAGCTCATTCTTCAAAGCTATTTTTAGATATTTGCTTGTCAGCATTAATATTTCTCAACTGGCTAACCATATAAATTTTCCCCGAGCCTTCTAAAAATAGCCACAACATGGAACCTCATCTCTGACTTTAAACGTTAACTTGGCCAGAAAGGCTTTGCAATGTGTTTTAAAAACTCCCTACATGGGCGCATGAGCCCAGGTCATGTTTCCTAGCACATCTGGGTAGGCCGAGCTGGGAGATCCGGTCCAGGTCGGAACAGCGAGTCAAAGACAGCTGACAAGACCTGAACCTGTCTCCAAAAAAATAGAAGAATTACTGAACAATAAACAATATATGAAAAAATTAGCCGGCATGGTGGCACATGCTGTAGTCAGCTCTTGGGAGCTGAGGCAGAAAACACTAGCCAGGAGTTTAGAGTCTGTGAGCTAGGCTGATGCACGACCTACCACCAGGAACAGAGCAAGCTCTTCTCAAACAATAATAATAAAAAAACTCCTACAATAATCAGTTTACGATGTCCGCTTTAACAGTCAATGTTCCAGGCTAAATCGATCAGGTAATCAGAATTTGAGTTGAGGCCCAGACCAAGTATTTTTATTAAAACATTGCAACTACTGATTTGGATTGCTTCAAAGGAGTTAACGGTGTGACTGACTGTTTTGCATTTCTCTGACAATAAGTCATCACATTGGCACTATATAGGATTCACAAACTAAGAATTTAGCCTTCATCCACCTCATTGGTGTGTTATTCAAGGATTCCTTCCCCAATTTCTTTACGAAAGCAAAATGGAGCCAGCGAAAAAGGTACAGCGATCACTAGAACATTTACAAAATATTAGTAAAAAATCCATTCCACGTCAAAACTCCTTTAGCACATAGTAAGCAAGAGTGAAAGAACAAAACTGAAGAAGAAATTCACTTTAGTTGAGACTAAAGGTAAAGAAGGCACAACTTAGATGATCATAATAGGAAATCATACCATCTTCCAGCAACTTATAGCATAGTACAATTTTAAATACAATATTTTCCACTGGACTCTGTTTGGATGCCAATAATAAACCATATTCTATACATACTTCAAAGAAAGCTACAAATACATTAGGGGAAGTATTGATTCAAGATAGTTCTGTTCAGAGAACAACTGAACTATTATGTAAAGGTGGACATTTTTAGATTAAGATAATGTTGCTGCTTTGTTAAAATATTTTTTCATACTTTATAATGTCAATATGAAAAAGGCTTTACTTTTTTTATATCACTAACCCTGAGGAAGGAAACAAGTGTGGAGTGTCTACATAAGTCACTAGGACCATTGTCCACAACTTTTCCCAATTGTGAGGCGTAAATGGAGAAGTGTAGATATACACATTAGTAGCTTCCACCATATTTAGCTTAAAACATTTAAGGTAGATATACCAACATTTGGTACAACTGCACAGAGCATTTTTTGCTCAACTAGAACACATTTTTAAACATCATCACTTTTAAACTAGTGTGTTTACACAACAAAACACAATTAACCTGACTTATGTAGGAATACATTGACTATGTAGGAATTTTCCAATTCAATATATCAAATGTGGGAACAATGTACTTCAACTGCTCAAACCTCCGTCACAGAAGAAAAATGACGGTGTAAGTTTATGAACTCTCTCTTCTCACTAGAATACGATGCCTGAGCGTTACAGGAGTTGAGAGGATAACAGAATTCTACCACAGATGGAATAGGGTGGAACTGAGTTATCT